CTCCTCCTTCTTCTCCTTCTCCTTCTCCTTCTCCTTCTCCTCCTCCTTTCCTTCTCCTTCCTTCTCCTCCTCCTCCTCTTCCTCCTCCTTCTTCTCCTTCTCCTTCTCCTCCTCTTCCTCCTCCTTCTTCTCCTTCTCCTTCTCTTCCTTCTCCTTCTCCTTCTCCTTCTCCCTCTCCTCCTCCTCCTCCTCCTCCTCCTCTTCCTCCTCCTCTCTCTCTCCACCTTGTTTTGGTCTAGTGTACATTTTGCATCACAAAAGGTTTGAGGATACTTTCTCCAAGCCCTGCAGTGGAAAAAGGAGACTTGCTGAATTTGGGGGAATGTAACATATGTTTCCTGTATTTCAGGCCTTGTCAGTGAACTCAGAGGTTTCAAAGAAATCCAGCAATTAAGCAAGCAAATGATTTTTTCCCTCTGGGATGCTATTAAACCTTTTTCCAACCAGGGCCAGCTGAACAACATTATGGGCCCCAGGCAAAGCAGAGTAGTGGGGCCCCTATGACAACTTCTCCCAGGAATGAAAATGTAAAGTGTTGATAAAATGAAACACATATTTGCAAATAATATGTATAATATATTTATATGATACAAGGTGCATTGAAGGGTTAACGTACACAGTTTAGTATGGGGCCCCTATGCTCTCGGGGCCCACGAGCAAGGGCCCATCAGGCCCAGGCGCTAAGGCAGCCCTGTTTCCCACAGGCCACTAGCTATGGTTGCATAGCTCCACTGGCAGCAAGTGGGTTGGGGGGCCGAGAAGGAGGCTGAGTGATCTAACTTGGTAAACTCAGCAGTGCAGAGTGCTAGACTGAAGCACCCAAGTGTTAGTGGCCATTGCTTTTTTGCCTGGTTGTGTGGTAGGGTGTGACAGAGCCAGGATGGGAGGGAAAGGGTCAGAAAGAAGGGGTGTGGTCAGGGGGGAAAAAGGGCAGGCAGGAACATCATGGGGATGACGGGTCTTAAGGAGATGAAATGGGTGAGAAGCGGTGGGCCACTCTGGGAAGGGGGTCTGGTGTTAAGTGCTGGTGCCAGTTTGCAGTCCCCCACAATCCCCTTGCATGGAGAACATTTCACAACTGGGTTGACCCTGAGGGACATACTCTTGCGTGTGACAGATCAGCCTCTGGCTGTGTGGTCCCCCCTGGGCCAAGGACTCAAGGCATCTATCTATCTGCCCAAGTTGAGAGACAGGACAAGTTCTCTGAAGGAAGAAACTCTATGTTTCCAGGCAGCTCATGCTCAACAGGAAGCAATTATGCCTCTTGAGAACTTAAGACAAGTTAATCAACAAAGCGATTCTGTGGTTATGTGGCTGTAGTTGCCACGTAGACTGTTTTGATTGTGTTGGAGATGATGTGAAGAAGGCACACATCAAAAATGAGCAAAGGGGGGAAGGAAGGAGGAGAGCGGAGAGATTGTGTGGTGGGTGGTGGGGAAATGCACTCTGGAGTCGCAGGAGGGAGGGGGTCTTTCCCAGGGGTCAGCTTGGAATGTGTGGTAGGTCAAAAGAGAACAAGTCGGATCCTCCCCAGCACTTCACAGAGTAAATCTATAGTCATGGCAGATATTTGCTTTAGTCCAGCAAGATTCTGTCTGTAGGCAAATAACAATAAAGGAACTTTTCAGAAGTAGTGTAACTCCATGGGTGATTCTCGGTTCTTTGGGGCCTGACATGGATTCAGATCAAAGGAAGGAAATGGGCCAAGAAAGAAATGCTGACCGGAACTTTAATGGGCCCCAAATAAGCTGCCATATCTAAAGGTTCGTGATGGCACGCAAGCAGAGTAGACAAATGCTAGGAAGGAACCAAGGAAACAAACAAACAAAATTGAAAAAAGGAAGTTGGGACTGAGCACCTGGAAAAACCCACCCCAAGTGTCTTCAGTGTGTGGGTGTGGAAAAGCAAATAGATACACATCGTAACCAGGTGAGTGACCATAAGCTGAAACCAGGAGCAAATGTGTAACGCCATCTCCTCCAGCCAGATAATGCAGCTATTTGCACATTACCTGAGATAGCTGAAGCTGAAGTAACCCAACACATCTCACACTCTACCTGCCAACCCACAAGGCCTCTTATGGCTGGGGAGGGTGACTTGCTTCCCTCCATACTTGGATGCCTTAGGAAAAGGCAGTTATGCAGCCTATCTGGCCAACAGTTGACTGACTGTGGGAGTCCTATGGGAGGCATTTTTCTTGTTTAAATGTTGATACGATGCCTCCCCAGTGATGCTGAACCAACTCAGTGTCTATTCCATCCACATCATAAACACCATTCTTACTCCAAAGATTCTCACCTCTTCCACATTTGTTTATTCAGTACCATCTGATCTGAGGGCCACGTCATCTCCTACCACAACAGATATTTTGCATTGACCCTCCATGAGGTTTTTCATGGTCCAGTACAGGAGATGTTACTTACTGCCTTGAACTCAAATGATCCACACATCTCAGACTAGGCTTCTATAAGTCGTGTGATCCCAGTTACGTGGCCTATTTTGCCCACAGTTCACTGACTGGAGAAGTGAAGGTCCTCTGGCAGCCATTTTACTTGTTTATATGTAGCATGGATGCCATGATAATTATGGGGTTCTTAATAGGTGCTAAGTGAAGACCATTCTGTTTGAAGTTCTCACTTGCCTGACATGGCACAGGGTGTCCTGCTTGAGCAGAGGGTTAGACTAGAAGACCTCCAAAGTCCCTTCCAACTCTGTTATTTTTTTGTTCTGTAACTTTCCCATGCTTTTAGGTGGGCTTTTAATTATGTTTTCATCCGCCATGTTTTAGATTTTGAACGACTATCTTCCTGCTCCCTAATTTAAATGGTGTTTCCCATTTGCATTTGATTTTACTGCATTGTGCATGTTTTTATTTGAATGGTATTTATAATGTAACTTATTGTAAATGCTCCATCTACAACCATTAGGCTGCTTAAAAGGGTGAGAAATAAATTACTATAATGTATATTCATGTTTCCATGAAGGTTTTGAAAAGAAAATAAAGCTTGAGAAATGAGTATACCAAGGCTTTCGCACCAGCAAATAGATCAGCTCTAAGGAATATCTGTTTTTAACATAACTCCCCATGCTTAGTTAGCTATTCTGGGGCTTAATGTAGCATCCAAAGCTTTTTGGGGGTGGGGTTCAGCTTGCTGTTGGTGTACAAATACAGAAACTAGGTCCACTCCGTCCCAAATTAAAGGGGTGATATGAGAAAGACATTGGGAAAAGTGGGGGAGGGATTTTGCAGACAAGACTGCATAAAACCAGCATTGGTGGTTTTGTGGTTCAGCGCTTCTTCAAAATCCAGCTATCAAATTAGGAGATTGTGTGAACAAACCCTTTACCCTTCCCTTAAGAGCAGAAATTCCGTTTTCTTCCACTTGCGTTGCAGTCTTAGCATATTGCGGGAACACAGACATATTGCAACCTCAGTTAAAGTCTTAGCGTGTTGTGGGAACCATGAAACCCCTGCAACCAAACAGGAGAGAGGGATTTTATTAAACCTTTCAATTAACCTACACCAAAGCTTTTGAAAGCTTTTGTTGCCCTAATCAATGTCTAAAAACCGAAACTATTTGGTGTTTATAATGATTACATTACATGCCTATACAGGCACAGTAAATACTTCACAGCATGCAAGGGTTGCATTCCTTTCATATGGTTTCAATCGTTGTCGGCTTTAGTATTGTGTTTGAGTTGCACCTTTGTGAAGATGC